AAAAAAAAAAAAAACTCAATCAATAAATCATTTCCATTAATATATTAATGGAAATTTAAAAGCAGTCATTGTAGGTTAAATCAGCACTTACAGTTGCAGTACCAATTAAAAAATTGAAATGATGCTGTGGTAGCAGGAAATCTTTGCTTAGAAATGGAGTTTTGACGTGCTTATTTGGTGACAATTCCAGAGCGTGGTTAAATCAAAGGGACTCTGCAGTAAAGCAGACTTGTGTTCAAATCTCTAGCCTCCATTTGCTAGCGTGTTTTTGTGTGTTTACACAAATTACTTATTTAACTTCACCAAGGTTCAATCTCCTCATCTGAAAATTGGAAACAATAAAAGTCTTTAAATCGCTCACTAGCTGTGAGGACTAAATAAGTTAATACTGGCATAAGGAAGCCTCTTAAATAATAGCTATAATACTATAATGCTATACTGATAATTACTAGTAGTAGTACTGGCAGTCATATATTAAATGTGGAATTGTGTCTGGTCCTGAAAATACAGCCTCTTATATAATAAATGGCATGCTCTTTAGACCATCCAGCCCTTGAAATGTATCAGTGATATTTTGCCTTTGCAAATATGTCAATGTTGGAAACATTCTGGTGTTCTCACCCAATTCAAATGCTATTCAAATTGAAATGCTATGAGCCCCTGAGGGGATTTGGGGAATTTTTGGGTAACATAATTGCTTGATGTTCAAGGGTCCTTCCAGTCTATATTTTGAATGATTATGACATCATCCATCATACTTTATTATAGGTATTCGTAGCCTTGCTGACAGTTCTCTGCCCCCATATGAGGTTCAAATGACAATTTATGGTGGGTAGGTAAAAGTAAAAGATGAGTTTATTTGTTTTACTACCTGCAGGTTTCCTCTAGGGAGACAGTATCAAAGTAATGCTTATTGGTGTTTGAGTATTTGGGAGCTTGTTTACAAGGTTAGCTTTTGACGAAATGAACTTTACATGCATTGACAGAACATTTATGATTACAAAAGACTGAGCGCATTTTATGCTAAATATCCATTTTATCAGGAAAGTCAAGATGTTGAACTACCCAGGAGGAATTAAGTACACTGAAAATTGAATTAAGATCCATTTCTCTTCTGCAAATTCTAAAATTCTTAGCAGCATTTAGATTCCAGTTTGGGCACTTGCTTTAGAATATTATTAATATTAACTCTTATGCAGGATAAGATGAATAACTCCTTCTCATTGTAAGACATGGTTGTATAGTTCAGAAGGGTTTCTTTTCTCTAAGCGTTGTCTCTCAGTTTTTCTTTTAAAATAAGATTGTTGAAGTGTTTGAACATATCCTCTTTGGCTAAACATCAAAAGAATCATGCAGCTTCAAGGTCATTTGTTAGATCCCATTTACTTGCTGTTAGAAGAGAAAAGGAAGAGAGCGTCCTCTTTTAATAGGCTTGAGTATAATTCCAGATTCAGAAAGACTGGAAACTCTTCACTCTAGTGTTTTCAGAATTGCCACTACAGAATCCGTGTGTGTGTGTGTGTGTGTGTGTGTGTGTGCGCTCGCGTGCGTGCATGTGTTTCTGTTCACACACATACACATTAACGCTTATATCTTCTACTTTTTTTTCTTCCTTTCTTAGAGATTCAATTCTTTAAGCTCTGTTTTTTTTTTTCAAGATAGTAAATGCACAGTTAAATCTTAAGTGCCGTAAAAGCAGACTGAGACCTTGATTTCAATCAGGAGGTCAAGGATCCACACCTGAAGAGGCTGCCAGACACTGTGCACACATGCTATTCGGAGATGGAGCCAGTCATTGCTGTTGAAAAGTGTGTGTGTGCATGTGTGTGTGTGTCAGTAGGAGGAGAAAAGGGAAGGTTAAGGTATGTGTGAAGTAAACACAAGCTGCCGTAAAACAGTTCAAGTGGTGTTGATTCATCAACCAAGGGAGTGGGAGGAAAAACAAAGAATTCATGGCAGGTATAATGGTGTACAGAAAATAAACACCGAGAGAAGTACATTTTATTAACTTTGGACCCTCAGTGAAAAGGAAGTGTTGGACCTATACAGGCACGTTTCATCTGCTATGAATAGATGTTGCTGTGGGAGTTCCTATCTAGTAGAATCCACTTCTCATGGGAAAGGAGTGATTTTGTTTGTAAAATTTCTGTTTGTGTCCATCCATTTTCAAAATGAGAAAAAGAAGTAATGAGTTTCAAATCTGGAAATTAGTGGTAGCAACATCAGAACTCTACCTTAGGGTTCTGCCTGAGAACCCAGGAAGTCAAGAGTTCCATGGCCTTCCTTGCCCCCCTACCCATCCCATTTCCACCCCCACATTACCAATTTACATGTATCCCGGCTGATATAATGTGTAGAAGAGAATCTCACGCTAACTTACTAATGTCCCAAACTAAATGCAGCTACATTGTTAAATATGTTTCCTATTATCTGCTAATGTCTGTTTTAATAAAACAGTGGGAACTAAATGGTTGCTTCTTAATCAAAACCATGATTTCCTGACATAAGCTATGTGATTCTGTTACAAATTGCCACATATAGATCTCCTAAGTCAAATTTTTTTTCCCTCCTCATAGAAATAAATAAACAGTAAAATAATTATATACTCTGGAAGATCAAAGTAAATATGACTAAAACCTGGCAAAAATAAAAGTCCACTGGAAGGATTAAAAAAAAAGGATCAGATTGCAAATTCTATAGTTAATGCTTAAATAAATATGAGAAAAATGAACAATCAATAATTTGATATCATTAAAAACAGATGTAAAAACTATATACAAATGGAATTGTCTGAATTTTGAAGTAAACATTTTAATGTCCATTTTTTGAATTTGTTGTTATTATAGCTAAACTATTTACACTTCTTCTTTAAAAAGTCCTAAGTTAGTTTGGCTTAGCATGTGAACTTTATTTTCCCCAGTGATCACAACAAAGTACATTCTGTTTACTTTTTTTCTTTAATTTCAAAGACAATCATGGTTGACACAGACATATTTGAGTTAACATTAGTGTTAATTCAGGATGGATGGGGAGAGAGAGTTTGTATACTCTGGTTTTAAGGTCCAGAACTATGAACCTGCTTCCCAGGGAATTTTGATAATTGAATAAAATTAAGTGGGTAGATAGGGTAGTAGGTTGGTTTAGATGGCATTTTTTATTGCTGTTCATCTCATACTGTAATTGCTTCTGGCCTACATTTTACAGTGAAGAGCTCATAAGCAAGTATAAGAAAAGAAAATGTACATATTGTATAAAAGCAGGGGGAAAGAAAAGACCAATATTAGCAGTTGTGTAGTGTGTAGGAGTTTTAATGTTGGACACAAGGATAATCCACAGGCACCTGGAAATGTCATGCTTACAAAGTTATTTTCAAGAATTCTTTGGATTATGTGGAATTTAACCCTTCAATTTTTCTTTCACAAGTTTACACATTTTAATGAAACACTTATTTTTTTAGCCTAATTCTTTTATGTTAACTATTTATTTTTTTTTTTTAAATTTTTTTTTCAACGTTTATTTATTTTTGGGACAGAGAGAGACAGAGCATGAACGGGGGAGGGGCAGAGAGAGAGGGAGACACAGAATCGGAAACAGGCTCCAGGCTCTGAGCCATCAGCCCAGAGCCCGACGCGGGGCCCGAACCCACGGACCGCGAGATCGCGACCTGGCTGAAGTCGGACGCTCAACCGACTGCGCCA